GGCGCCGAGCCCCGACGGGGCTCTTGACCCGGCTGCCGAGGTCCCCTTCAGCGAGGGGTTTGCGTTGACGCCCCAGCCCCGGGCCGCCTCAGAGGGCGTCCCGAGCGCCGGGCTCGTGGGGGTCCCGGGGTCCCCAAGGCCTGTCTCCTGGGCCCGTTTCCCTTAGCAGGGGTGGACAGCCCCGAGCCCTCACCCACCTGGGCCCCGCCGGCCACCCCGGCAGGCGGCCCAGAGCGGGCAGGGGCAAGTGGACGGTGGCTGAGAGGCCCGGCCGGCCTCGCCCCCTGCCGGTCCCTGCGCCAGGGCTCCCCGGCCTCGGCCCCGGCCCTGCGGGTCACCGGGCCAGAGGGGGCCGGCCGCCGCTGCCCTGTGGGGACGGCCTCCTGGCCACTTGCCTGAAAGGAAGCTCCGGCCTCCTGTTTCCTCTTCTGCCTGCGAGGCCCAGATGCTGACGCAGCTGGTGACCCCTGTCCACCGGGCCAGAGGGGACAGGGCAGAAGCACGCAGGGAAACCTGGGCCCGGTGACCCCCGGGCCGGGCTGCTGACCCAGCACTGACCGGTCCCTGCACAGCTGAGATGCCGCCGGCCGAGGCCACGCTGCCGGCCCCGAGGTGTCCTGCCGTCCAGTGTCTGAGCCTCAGGGTCCCTTGTGAAAACCGGGTCGACTCCATGTCATTTTGTGGCCATTCTGTTGAGGGCGCAGCCCCCGCTGTCCGGGGCGGGGGGCGGGGCGGGGGCTGAGGCCCGGTCACTGCCGCGGACCGACGAGACCGGAGGCCCCGAGAGGCGCCGGGCGGGCAGCACCCCAGACCTGGCGGAGCCCCAGCTTTGGGCCTGGACACCGGGAACAGGGGCGGGACGCTGACCGCGATCCATGAGGTCCGGGGCTCGGGACAGGCTGGTCCGGCCTGCGCGGCCAGGCAGGCGCCGTGGACAGTCCCGCCGGGGGCAGGAGAGAACTGTCCAGAGGCCGTTTCAGGGTCCACCCGGCCGTGTGGCTCCGACCTCTTCCGCGAACTTCCCGGAACGGCAGCGTCACCTCTGACCCCGACCGGAGCTGGGGGTCCAGTCCCGGCGGGCTCACGGGCCCCACACGCGTCCCGGCCGGCCGGCAGAGGGGCTCAGGGGCGCTGCCCACTGCCTGGAGGCTCGGCCCGGCCCCGAACCCCGGGGGTCTGCGGGGGTCACTGCGCAGCGGCCAGCTGGGGCCCCGGAGTCCAGAAAGCCAGAGCAGGGGGCGGTGTCCACAGGACTCCCCAGAGTTCCTTCAGGACGCCCTTCCCCCGCACAATACAGCAAGACCTACAATTACTTGTCCTTGAGTGACCAGATCAAGTACACCTGTGACAAAGGCTACGTGCTGGTTGGCTCCGACACCATCAACTGCAAGAACTTGCACTGGACGCCAGAGGCCCCCCAGTGCAGAGGTGACCCCCCGCCCAGCCCCGCGGGGCAGGGACGCGCGAGTCGGGGGCTCTGGGCTGCGCTGGGTGGGCTCACGTGTGACCGCGTCCCCCCCAGCCCCAGGCCGCACCCCTTCCCCGACGGATGGGGCGTCCCGGTGAGCCCCCCCCGGCTGGGCAGCGGTCACCGTCGCTTGGCCATCAGAGACCCAGGCACCGGGGACGCCCGGGCTGCCGGCCAGCGGCTCTGAGACCGCGGGGCGGGTGGCAGGACCCGACGGCCCTGCACGGGGTGGCGAGTCCTGGTCCCGTCTCCGGCCCCTTGCCCCCGGTCCTCGGGCTCGCTGACGTGTGTCCTCGCACCCAGCCCAGTGTCAGAAGCCCAGGGTGTTGCACAGCCGGCTCTCCTTGGAGCAGGATCTGTACCCAGAGTCCCAGACACTGAGCGTCCACTGTGACCCTGGCTACACCGTGGTCGGGGCCCAGAACATCACCTGCTCGGAATACAGGACCTGGGTCCCCGCGGTGCCCAAGTGTGAGTGGGTGAGTAGCCTGGCGCAGGGCGTTCCGGGCCGCGCCGCGCCTCCCCGGGGCCGCCCTCCCAGCAGGGGAGGGAGGGAGTCACTTCTGCACCGTTCGAGGGAGCTTGTTTCTCTGGAGTCTTGTCGGGGACACTCCCTGCTGTCGCCTGAGAACAGGGAACTGAACACCGCGGGCCGAGCAGAGCAGCCTAGGGCCGGGCACGCGGGCGAATGTCCTTTTTCCGGGCTGCGTAATATTCCGCCCCCCGCTTCCGGTGGCCGGCGGGAATGGCCTCCGTCCCCCCAGGCGCTCGCAGCCTCACTCGCCCCGTCTCTCCTTCAGGTGTTCCCGGAAGGCTGTGAGCAGGTGGAGGCCAGCCAGAGACTCTTGCAGTGTCTCCCCAACCCCCAGGAGGTGAGGATGGCCCTGGAGGTGTATAAGTTATCTCTGGAGATTGAGCAGCTGGAGTGGCAGAGAAACAACTGGAAGGAATCCAGGGTGGCGTCTGAGCTGTGACTGATCCCGAACGGGAGAAACACGCGCCCCCCGGTACCCCCACGCTGTGCTCCCTGCCCAGCCTCTGTGCCCCGGGATTCTCTGCAGTGACAGTCCCACGTCGCGACTGCTGATGCGAAGCCGGGTCGCTGGCCTCCCCCCGCCAGACGGGGTCCTCTCCCGCCTCTGCGCTCGAGCCGTCCCTGAATTCCGCGTCCTTCTCCGTGTTAACATTCCCTCTCCAGTCTTCCGTATCGCTGTATTTCTTTGCGGGGACCGTCCACCCACGGCAGGCGAGAGGCCGCTGTGTCTGGAACTCTCCGTCTGCCCCCGCGGCCGTCCCGCGTCTTCTGCCAGAGCGAGCGGCTCTCACTGGGGCGCTTTATTTCTCGCCTCCCCTGTGGGCCGCTTTCCCAGCCGCGGTGTGGGTGGGAAACAGAAGAGCCCGGAGCGCCACTGCCTGTCTCCCACAGGCCCGAGGTCGCGGTGGAGTCCTCTGCTCT